GGCCCCATGGGGAGCTCCACCGAAGGCCCCAGTGACAGGGTTCGCATGACGGCCCCGCCCCATTTCGGCACACCCCTCAGACGTTTCGTGGCCCCATGGGGAGCTCCACCGAAGGCCCCAGTGGCAGGGTTCGCATTGCGGCCCCGCCCCAGTTCGGCACACCCCTCACACGTTTCGTGGCCCCATAGGGAGCTCCACCGAAGGCCCCAGTGGCAGGGTTCGCATGGCGGCCCCGCCACATTTCGGCACACCCCTCACACGTTTCGTGGCCCCATAGGGAGCTCCACCGAAGGCCCCAGTGGCAGGGTTCGCATGGCGGCCCCGCCACATTTCGGCACACCCCTCACACGTTTCGTGGCCCCATAGGGAGCTCCACCGACGGCCCCAGTGGCAGGGTTCGCATGGCGGCCCCGCCCCATTTCGGCACACCCCTCAGACGTTTCGTGGCCCCATGGGGAGCTCCACCGAAGTCGCAGTGGCAGGGTTCGCAAGACGCTCTCGCCCGATTTCGTCACATTCCTCACACGTTTCGTGGCTCCATGGGGAGCTCCACCGAAGGCGCAGTGGCAGAGTTCGCAAGGCGCTCTCGCCTTACTTCGGCACACCCTTCACACGTTTCGTGGCCCCATAGGGAGCTCCACATAAAGCTGAGTCATAATACGGTACCCCCAATTGCAGATGGTTGGGCCCTTCGCCAGGATAATTGTTTTTGCTCTGCTTGTTCTTTTCCTCTTCTTCTTCTTCGTCGTCGTCGTCTTCCTCCTCTTCGTTCTTCCGTAACGCACGCATGTACTTCCGACGTCTCCGACGGCCTCTGGAGGCCCCTGGGAGTCTCTGGAGGCCTCCCTTCCTCCTTCCCTCCTCCCTCCCTTCTTCTTCCTTTTTCTCCTCCTCCTCCTCCTCCTCCTCCTCCTCCTCCTCATCCATCCTCCACTCTCCTGCTGCTGCTCGTCCTCCTCTTCGGAGGTTTGGCTTTCTGGCGTGCTGGCTGGTGGGGGGCCCTGTGCCGCTGTGCGGCGCACGGTTTGCCCTCTTAACCTTCGTTGCTGGAATGCTCAGCCTGGTCCGCTCGAAGTGCCCTATCCTGCTGCTCCTCCTCCTCCGTATCCTGGCTGCTGCTGCTGCTGCTGCTGCTGCTGCTGCTGCTCTCCTCTCTCCCTTGATGTTGTGTTGTGCAGGGGCGCTCCCCTCTTTCATATAGTTTTCTTCGAGGGGCCCAGGGACACACAAACAAATGGACACACATCCAAGGAGTTCCTATGAATTCCATATTTTCTGGAATTTCGTATTCATTTCTTAATCCCGTATCTACTGGGGGTCAACGATTACATAATTGTGTCAGCGTTTTTTCACTCCAGATCATATGGTCTTCTCCACAACCGGGATTTCAAACATTGGTTTTACCAACGTGCTTTTTCAATCGCACCGTTTTCGTCCCTCTGGAACAAAAGATGTTCCCGCTACAGCGTTGGCCGCGTTTCAGGATCGGCGCTTGGCTCCCGTCGTTCAGGTTTGCGCTCTCGCCCCACCCCGGGCCACAGTTCCAGATGAGGATGCACTCCTCATCGTCGGCGGATGGACAAGAATCCAGCGCAACGGAAAAGGCTGCGCGGGAAAGGGGGGGATGTCGGACATGGCCCGAGTGCACCCCCTCTCTCATCTCTCTCTCTCTCCTCCCCCCCCCGCTCCTGCTCCACCTCCTCCTGCTCCTCCTCCTCCTCCTGCTGCTCCCTCCTGCTTCTCCTCCTCCTCCTCCTCCTCCTCCTCCTCCTCCTCCTCCTCCTCCCCCACCTCCTCCTCCTCCTCCGCACCCTCCTCTCTCCCTCCTCTCCCCCCCGCTCCTGCTCCGCCTCCTCCGCAGGCTCGCCCTGCTCTCGGGGACGCACTGGCCCGCATCAGCACACAACGCCGGGTCGGCCATGGCCCCGTCGCGAATCCTGGCCGGCCGCCTCGTAGCTCCCCACGCCCGGGCCAGCGGAAGCCGGAGATCGGGAGCGGCCAAGAGGTCCCGAGTGGCCTCCACGTGCCTCCGGAGACCAAGCAACAGCGACACAAACTTCCCCAAAGCAGAATTCGCAGACGTCCGAAGATATGTGTGTTTCAGATATGTTTTTCAATGCGCGGCCCCAGAGTTCTCGGGAGCGGCCAAGAGGGGGGTGTCCAAGAGGGGGGGGTGCAAATCATGACCGGCGGCATGTGCGCGGCCCAGCGGGGGGGGCCAGGGGCGTAATGAAACAGGAAGAGGCGCCATGAGATCTGAGGAAATTTCATGCCCCCCGCCATGATATCCCCCCCCCCCTAGTCATCCCCCCCCCCTCTTTTCCGCTCCCGAGGAGAAGGGGAATCGGCCCCTTGTGGCTCCCAAGCCCGGGCCAGCCAGAGAGGATTGGCCGACCCCCGTCACGTGAGCACCAGCCTTAAGTCGGGCCTGTCCCCCTACAGGGGGATTTTCGACGAAAAATAAAAAATACCCCAAAATAATCAAAAAATATTCCCAAAATAGTCTGCGGACTATTTTTTGAGTATTTCCCTACCTAGGCTCTGCCTAGAAGGGTTCTTACTCGGAAGCTTAAAGGGCCGGGCAGTGTAACCCGCCCGGGGCGGTTCCCTCAGTATCCGCCCCGCGGTTCCCCCAGTTACGTCCCCTTAGCTTAGCGTTGCTTGTCTCATCTTAGCTTAGCTTAGCTTAGCTTAGCTTAGCTTAGCTCAGCTAAGCTTCATCTTAGCTGCGCTTAGCTGTAGTTTAGCTTTAGCTTAGCTTTAGCTTAGCGTTAGCTTAGACTTAGCTTTGCTTTAGCTTAGCTTCAGCTTAACTTTAGCTTAGCTTTAGCTTGGCGTTAGCTTAGCTTTAGCTTAGCTTTAACTTAGCTTCAGCTTAGCTTCAGCTTAGCTTTAGCTTAGTTGTAGCTTCGCTTCAGCTTAGCTTCAGCTTAGCTTTAGCTTAGCTTTAGCTCAGCTTTAGCTTATCTTTAGTTTAGCTTTAGCTCAGCGTTAGCTTAGTTTTAGCTTAGCTTTAGCTTAGCTTTAGCTTAGATTTACCGTTGCTACTAATGCTGCTTTCCTAGGGGCTCCAACTCCTAGGTAGGGTCGCACTGGGATATGTTTTGACCTTGTGGGGGGTATTTTTAGTGTATTTTTCATGTTTCATCGAACATCCCCCTGTGGGGGGACGGGTCCGACATAGCACCAGCCTGCTCATGGGGAGCACGGCCCAGCACGGCCCTCGTGCCTCGATCGGCGGGCTGGTAGCGGTGCGGTGCGGCGCTCGCGGGACGCTTCCCGAGCTGCCGCGCGCGGCCCCGCCGCGGCAGGGGGCCAGGCCGCAGAGCGGCCCGTCGCGGCTGACGCCGCGTGAAGACGGATCGTTTTGTGGCTCCGCTCCCCCGTGTGGGTGCCTCGTGTTTCAGACTGCGCCCAGCTGTTGCTGGATTGGCGGCGCAGACAGCCGCCGCGGAAGCTGGCCCCCAGCACGCCTGCTGTGTGCGGAGCTGTTGTCCGCGCAGCATCACTGGAAAAGGGCCGCGTGAAAACCAGTATACGGGAACACGACTTGCCTGGGGGCTCCTGGCGGCGGCGATCGCGCACGCGCCTCGGCCAGCAGGACGAAAAGAGAACAGGAGCAGCAAGCATGAGGGGGAAGGTTGGGGGGGAGACCAGCTCAGGGGGGAAACATCGACCTGGCATTGGCGATACATCGCCGACAGGTCGGCGATAGGCTCCCGATGGCGAATCAGCATACTCCTGGGCGGCGGGGTAGGGTATTGGGGCTCCATCGGCGATGAATGGGCGATTTGAGGTCGATGCCTTCCCCATGAGCGTTTCCCGCCCTGACGTTGCCCCCCAAAGCACGACGACGGCGCATGCGCAGGTGGGAGGCCCAGGCGGACGGGACAAGCAGGGGAAACACGCGGTGGTGACAAGGAGTCGCCCTCCGACTGGGGCCTGCGAAGCTACGGGAGCAAAGAAAGTCGCCACCACCACCGCCACTCTGGTGCGGTCCCCATGCTCTGCGGTGTCCCGCTGGATGTGGCTCGAACCTCCAGCTCTTGGTGGTGGGTGGTGCCGCTTCTCCTTCCTCCGACAGCCGCCCGGCAGGCGGGCAGCCATGCTGCAGCTTACTGTCGCACTCGGTGCAGTGCGGGGGGGCGGCGAACCAGCCGGCGCGCCGCTACTGCGCGCGCAGCCCGGCCCGACGGGCCCCACTGAGTGCCCGCCGCTTCTCCCCCGCCTCCCCTCCCAGAGGCCCGCCTCCGACCCCATCGGGCTTCGATGACCTGGGTCCTGCCTGTGGCAGTCGCGCCCTGCCTGCGGCGGTGATGCCACGCTCTGCCCCACCCGCGGCCTGCTCGCAACAACTGGGCGAGCGGGCCTCCCGAGTTCCCCTCCCCCATCTCCCCTTGCTGCGGGGCGCTCCACCGCGCGGGCGGCCAACAAAAACTCAGCCGCCCAGGGCGGAATACGATGAACGTATCGCTATGTGGGCGGTGGCGGAAAACTCGACTGGGCTCGATCGTCTGTGAGGCGCGGGAAATCAGCGTTCGTGGGGGGGGGGGAAGCGCGTCGGTCTCGGCCATGTCCGGGACACTCTCGCTTTCCCCACCCTCGCCTCTCCGCTCTCTGACCGCCGCCGACGTCGAGGAATTTCCACGCCAGTGCTTGCCTCTGTTCCTCCCTTCTCCTCCACGCCCAGATCCGCCGACCGCTTGGGGTAGTCGCCAGGGATGCGACCCCCCCCCCGTCCGAAGGGAGGGGGGCTCCGAACTGCCCGCCCCAAGTGGGCGTCAGGATGTTGCCAAGATGGCCCAGGTGGGCCCCAGGAGGCTGCCATGAGGCAGCGCAAGAGGCCCGAGAATACCCCAGGAGACGCTTGAGATAACTCTAGATAATCTACACATGGGCGCAACCATTGGAAACCAACTATTCCCCCATGTCCCCAATATTGGAGTATTGTTGTTCGTGTGACGCACCCACCTCCCACTCACACACTCCCTACTTTCCGTCCCTGCCCCGCATACTCAAGCTTTGTCATGCTCAGACCCGCTCGCACTTAGACTCACTCATGCGTGGACTCACTGGTACTCAGACCCACTCGCTCTCAGATTTACTCGACAGGCCCACACACATACTCGGACTCACCCATACGCGGACTCGCTCAGACTCAGACTGACTCACGGCAGGAGCGGATCGTACTCGGGTCTCCCACCGATGAGCCGACAAGGGCCCTGCTCGCGCCCACACATCGGTGTGACCTCACACATCAAACGCCCGCTCCGGCAAGTTTACGCGTCTCTCCTCAGAGCTTCAGGGTCTCCGCGATGTAGCAGGCATCGCGCTCGGGTCTCCACAGAGGGAGCCGCCAGGGGGCATATACGGGCTCGCTCGCGTCCAGATTGGTGAGACATCTCGTGTAGAACGCCCGTTTTGGGGAAATTGACGCGCCCCTCTGCAGATCCCCATGGCCACCGCGATGTAGCAAGCATCGCGCTCAGGCCGCCCAAGGTGGAGCCACCAGGAGGTATACCACGGACCCTTTCGCGACCAGATTGGCAGGACATCTCAGGTCGGAAGCCCGTTTGGGCTAGAGTTGGGCCCCCCGTTATCAGAACGCCATGACCACGGCATTTGCGCAAGCGTCGCACTCAAACCTCCCAAGAGGGAGCTGCCAAAGGGCTTGTCACGGGTCCGCTCGCGCAGAAGAACGTCAACTGGATCTCTCAAGACAAAACTTCTGCGCCGGGAAGTTCACACGTCCCTCTTCAGAGCCCCATGGCGACCGCGATGTAGCAGGCGTCGCGCCTGGGCCTCCCCAACGGAGGCGTCGCCAATGGGTATATCCTGGGCCCACTCGCGCCCACATGGGTGGGACTGTCATGTATAGCGCTCGTCTTGATATGTGTTGACGCCCCTCTTTCGGAGCGCCATGACCACTGCATTTCAGAAAGCGTCGCGCTCGGGCTTTTCAAGTGGGAGACGCTGTAGGGTATGTCACGGGCCCGTTCGCGCCAACACCACTTGTGTTTGGACACTCCCGGAGTGTTGCAAGGCAGCGCTCAGTCGCCACAGGCAACTATTCCTCCACTCGAACAATCACACACGGGAGTGCCAGAACTGAGACATGCATATGGGGATCTCTACGTGGAATCATTTCAGTGATTTCGGCCGTTTCGCTTCCAACGGGCTTCCGAAGCCTCAAGATGGTTCCAAGATCGCCCACGAAAGCCCCAAGAAAGGACCATAAGGGCGCCAAGACGGCCCCCAAAGTGACCAAGATCGGCCACAGCAGCGTTCTTCCTGGCTCCGGCGCGGAGGGGCTTAACTGAGTCCGCCCCCTTGCTTGCTCGACCCCCCCCCCAAGATAGCCCGAGAGGCCCCTAAGAGGGCCCCAGGAGAGCCCCAAAGGCCTTCAAAATGGCCCCGAACGGGCCCGACGGTGAAACAAACGAGTTCCCAGGAAACTCCCATACCGAAAGATCCGCAACGGTACGGCTGATTACTGGGTCTGCTCAAACTGATTTTGCGCATCGGGTCGACGGCTGCCGCCCTCTCTTTGATCCACTGCCCGCCCCGAACCGTCTCTTGATCAAGGCAACTCGCGTGGGCATCTTGTCTGAGTGGGGTATTGGAACTCCAGGAGACCCCAGGAAGCCCCCAGGAGGCTGAAGAGAGCTCGAGCAGGTCCCAGGAAGCTCGAGGAGGCCCAGGGAGGCCTCTGAGGGCCAGGTGGCCCCAGGAGCACTTCACACATGATAAGACTTAGTCATGCTGAGATCCATTCACATTCATACCGCTCATGCCCAGACTCACTCGTACGATCGCGCACATTCGCCTACACTCAGGCCTCGTCATACCTGGTCGCTCATACTCAAGCGAGCACAGTCATACCCATCTTTGCACATACCCACTCGTACTCAGAACCACTCGCATGTAGCCACTAGTATCCAGCCGCTGATGCTAAGATCCGTTCGTACAAGCTCCATCACTCCCAATCGCTGATCCTGATACCCAATAAGAGTCGGGCTCACTCGCACCCAGACTCACTCACCCCCAGGACAACCAAGCCGCTCATACTCAGACTCGCTCGCACTCAGACTCAACCGGACTCAGGCAGCTAGACATCGACACTTCTATGGGGACCTTCGCGTCGAGTACCTGCTCTTATCGCCGAAATTTGGCTTCCATGGATTTCCGAGAATCACAAGACAACCCGAGGCGACCTTACGATGAAGACCGCCACAAACCTGCCCCGAGAGGACCCCCCAAACGGTCCAACATGGCCCCAGGAGAGGCCAAACGCGACCCAAGAGACACCCAAGATGGCCCCAACACTTAACTTCTCCCCTGAATTCCTCCCACGGCCTTCTACGAACCTCTAAGAATGCAGAACGAAAGCAATAATACCCAGTCGACCCCGAGGAGCTCAACCGATGGCCAACATCGGCACCCGAGAAGGTCCTCCAGCTCCATACTCTGTAACCACGGCGCCTTTCATCAAAACACCTGTCACGCAAAGCAACTGGAAGGGTCGCGGATGTGGCGTAAGCGTGATGAACCACTTCTCTCATCTAGCCGCCTAGAACTAGCGAGCCCTGGAAGGAGCATCAGCCTGATGCGCCTGGGATACCTAGGCGTGTCACGATGCTCTGCCACGCTACCGAGTGTCGCGAACGGCGCCGATTGCCCAACATTGAATCTGTGCTGGCCCTGCGCTTGAACTGATTGCTGTCCTTGCCGTGACAGAGCTCAGGATCGCCGTCGCGGCGCTGACGCAGCACTTGCTGGAACCTCTGCCGGTCGACGCGCAACACCTCCGAGCACTCCATCGCCACCACGGTGTTCTTGCACAGCACATTCGCCCCCACATCGAACAAGCAGTGCTCATCCACGACCGTCAGGGGGGCGGCGGCCCGGTTCGATGACAGCGACAGGCTTCCGAGCATGGACGTGATGCTGGTTCTGCTGCTGGCCTCATTCGACGTGTAGACCTCGAAGACCTGCAGGCCACCGCTCATGACCACGTACGCAGCCTCGGCTTCACTGCACTTCTCCGTGATCCGATCGCCCGTGAGGACGTCTACGGTCTGAGTGGCATCGCACACTGCTCGCAGCATTGGATCGGTCCAGTCCCGGAGTCGTACCATCATCCTGAGGAAGGGGATCCTGAGGGTCTGCGCCATATCTCGCTTCAGCTCCTCGGGCAGGGTGCTCAGCAGGCCCAGCTCCTTGGCATGGAGTCTCCTCGTCTCGAAGAGGTGCCTCAGGTACGCCTGCGTGCGTAGCTGCAGCGACGTTCTGCACTTGGTCGTTCTCAGGTGCATGCGCACATACGCCATTTCTTCCTTGAACGCGTCTTTGCGTGCACTGAACTTGAACCATGCCTGCGTGAGGCGGGCGACGTTGATGGCGAAGGCCATGATGGCGAAGAACATAAACAGAAGGGTAAAGACCCTCTCTATCAGGTTGACGGGCGTGACCTCCGCTGGCATGGTACGCATCACTCCCAAGATCCAGTAGAAACAGAAAACGTACTGCTCGGAGGCAGGCTTTTCCAACCACGTCCAGTATCCGAAGCCGTCGTGCGTGCTGTGCACGCGCGGCAGTTCCGTCCAGTGGAGCCCCTCTGGATCATCGTCCTGGGAAGTTTTTTTTTTTTTTTTTTTTTTTTTTCTTCTTTTGTTTTTTCTCTCTCTCTCTCTCTCTCTCTCTCTCCACGCAAACCGAGAGCAAGGGAGGAGATCAGGCCGCAGCCCGTGGAGAGAGACTGCCACAATGTCCACACCAGGGCCAAGAACTGAGTAAGAGGAGGAAGAGGAGGAGGAGGAGGAGGAGGAGGAGGAGGAGGAGGAGGAGGAGGAGGAGGAGGAGGAACAGAAGGAAACAAAACGGCGCAAGATACGACGTCGTCCTGGAATGTCAAGATCATCATCAGGCTGTCTCTCTTTCCGACCATCCACCACAAGCAGGCGCCCCAGTGGCAGATCGCGGCCCACACGCCGAGGACTTTGAGCAGGCTCACCACGTTCAGGGCCGTGATGGAGCCGATCCTGCCCTCGATGCGCTCCCACATGACCGACAGCTTGTAGAGGCGCAGCATCCTCATCAGCCTGAGAAGTCGCGTCAACTTGACGACCTTTGCGAGCTTCGTCAGCTGGGACGAGTCCGTCTCGCTGTTCGGGCTAAGCGCGCCGGCCAAGACGCTCCAGGGCACGGTGCTCAGGAAATCAATCCAGAACCATCCACGGAGGTAGTGCACTGCAATGCTGGCCCTCTCGGTGACGAGGGTCCCCTCTGCCCAGCGCTTGTCGTTCGTTCCCGAGTGGTAGCCGGTGAAGAAATTCACCACCAAGTCGCACAGGAAGAACCCGACCGTGATCCAAAGCCAGGACTCGTTGAAGCCTTGCTCGGTGCGGAACTCAGCCAGCTGCAGCGGGATCACGACACTGTCGCACAGGACCAACAAGATGACCGCCAAGTCCCACGCCAGCCTTGGGGGCCAGTCCGGGTTCAGCACGCCGTCGACGCACGGGGCGGCGGTCGTGCGGTTCCTCAACACCTGCAGCAGGTAGGGGGTGTTGGTGCGGTCTTCAAAGACGGCGTCTGACCTAGATGAAGCAACACATTGCGTAAACATAATTTCTCGGAGGTCCGCGCGGATTCTCAGATCGGCGCTGGAAGGGTCCAACGCCGCTCTAATAATCCGATCCGAGAAATCCGCGCGGACCTCCGACTGCTTATGCCTATGCAATTTCGCCTTCTTCCATGACCCGCCGGAACGGTCCGACGGGCAGGGCGCGGCCTGGCCGGTCGCTTCTCTGGGCGGCGTGTCGCAGCGGTTTGCGCTGCTCTTGCGCGCGCTGCTCGGTGCGCTGCCGCTCCAGGCGGGCTCCTGGGCGGGGCCTGGCGTTGATGCGGCCACGGTGGTGGTGGTGGCACTCGGGCGCGACTTGCTGGGCGAGGCGCCCTCGTGCTGTGCCGCATGCGCGAGCGGGCCCTCCACGGCGCTCGCCCTCGGAGCCTCCCCGGAGCCCTTCGTGGCGGGGGCCGTCACGGCGAGCAGGTCGGACCGGAGGCTGCCGAGGGCGACGTCGAACCTGCTCAGCGCCTCCTCGGCCGAGCTCCGGAAGCCCGCGAGCGCGGCGTCGGGGTGCAGCCCGAGGGCGTCGCGCACCAGGGCCGCCTGCAGGTCCAGGGCACTGGTCAGGGCGTGCAGGTGGGCGCCGACGGCCTCGGCCGCGGGCGCCCCTGCCGCGGGCCACTCCGCCGCCATCGCCCGCCCGCCCGGGAAGGGCATCTGGTCGGGTGCTGCCAGAGGCGCTCCTGGCCCAGGAGGTGCCCTCCCCAGACCCCCTCGAGTAATGAAAAATTCATGACGGGAAGTTTTTCGCCATTTTCGGCCTCTGGGGGCCCTCACCGGGCCTCGGGAGCGTCCAAAAACGACTCAGGATGACAAACCGGTCCTGGGGAAGGGGTCGAGAACTCTGGGGTCGACGTAACGAAAAATTCATTACGTCGGGGGTCTGGGCCCCCCCCCCCAAAGGTTTTCCGAGGCGCCTCGGGGCGGCCTCCACGCGCACCCCTGACGAGGCCCGGAGGGCCACAGGGGGGCTCCCCACTGGCCCCACCAGCTGGGGACACCCTGGGCCAGGACCACCTCTGCCCCCCCTCCCCCCCCCGGCCTGGCCGCGCGCGCCTGCGGCGCCCGCCTGGCGCTCCTGGCGCGGCCCCGAAAGGGGCCACGCCGGGGGCCCGCGGGCGCGGGGGCGGCGCGGTGAGCGGCCGGCGGTGCGCGCCTGCTCGGTGCGGCGGGGCAGGGGGCAGCCCCTGGCCGCGCGCCTGCCCAGGGGCTCGAGGCGGAAGGGGCGCGGGAAAGGGGCGGAGGAGGGGCGGACAAGGTCGGGCGTCAGCTCCTGGGAGGTTTCCGTGGGCGTGATGGCGAGGATGGCTGGGCCAGATTTGGGGGCCGTTCGACCAAGCTGGGCCATGTTCTGACGCCCCGTCGTAGGTCGGACTGAACGGGAGTAGGCCTGATTGAGCCGCATTGTAAGCTGGATTAGCACAAAATGCCAGGGCCGATGCTGAAATTCACCTCCCAGGAGCTGCATCCTAAGCAAGGATCGAGACGAGGGCCGAGGGCGGGGCAATGACAGGGAGAGGAGTCAACGGCCATGATGGATGATAGGGGGCACGTTCGTGTCGCAACTTGCCGCGGTGTGGGGGGGGGCGGCGCTCATGGGGACCTGTCGATGGCGAGCCCGCGCGCACAGGCAGCCCGCCGCCTGGCCGTGGCAGAGGGCAGCGGATGGCCCTCCTCGGCCGATCGCAGGAGCGACTCCAGGCAAGCGTGACACCCGGTGCGCGACTCTAACCTGAGGAAGCAATTAAGAACCCCCCCCCTTCCGGCGAAACGATATCCCCCGGCAGCTGGAAGCGTTATTCTGGCACCTGAAGCTAGGAGGAGGAGGAGGAGGAGGAGACAAATCGCTTGAGACATCCTCGCATTTCTTAATAGAATTGGCCAAATCGCCTGAAACATCCTCACATTTCTCAATAGACTTGGCCAAATCGCCTGGGACAGCTTCACATGTGGCCACATCGCCTGAGACATCCTCACATTTCGTACGAGAGTTGACCAAATAGCTTGAGACATCCTCACATTTCTTACGAAAATTCGCCAACTCGCTTGAGACATCCTCACATATTGCCCAAATCGCCTGAGACATCAACGCGTTTCTTAATAGGATTGGCCAAATCGCTTGAGACGTCCTCACATTTCCAAATCGAACTTGCCAAATTGCCTGAGACACCTTCACATTTCTTACTAGAACTGGCCAGATCGCCTGAGACGTCCTCACATGTCTTAGTAGAGTTTGTTAAATCGCATGAGGCATCCACACATTTCTTATTAGAACTGGCCACATTGCCTGAGACATCCTCGCAATTCTCATCAGCATTTGTCAAATCGCCGGAGACATCCTCACATTTCTTAACAGACTTGGCCAAATCGCCTGAGACATCCTTTCTCAAGTGTTCCTCAGTTTTCTTAGCGTTTCAGATGTTGATTTTTCTTGTTTTTCTCAGTTTCTCTTAGCCTTTCCTTGGTTTCCCTGTGTTTTCCTAGCTTCGCATCGCCCTCTTCCCCCTCCTCCTCCTCTCCGGTTCAGATCCTCGCCCTCCTCCTCTTTCTCTTTCTGCCAAGCTCTTAATCCTTCTCCTCCTCCTTCCTCCTCCCTCCTTCCCTAATGCTTTCAGTGCTCAGGAGAGTTCCTGCCTGTGCCTGTGACAGTTCTGGCAATATCAGGGCAACTTCTCAGTGCTCAGGAGAGTTCCTGCCTGTGCCTGCCGCCCTTTCAGAGCTCAAGCGTTCCAGCAAGATGATTCCAGCGTTCCAGCGAGATCGCTCGTCAAAAAAAAATCAGCTTGCAACGGATCGTTGCTAATTCGATTCAGTTGTTTCAGATTCAGTTATTCGTCTACAGATTCCCTGCCTCAATCAGTGCTTCTTGCTCGTTGTCTAATCGATTCAGCTGTCGCAGATTCAGTTGCGTCATTCTCGCATGTCTTAGTAGAATCGGCCAAATTCCCTGAGACATCCTCACATTTCATAATAGAATTTGCCAGACCGCTTGGAACATCCTCGTATTTCTTCATAGAATAAGCGAATTCGCCTGCGACATCATCACATTTCTTGTTCGCATTGGCCAAATCGCTTGAGACATCCTCGCATTTCTTAGTTTAATTGACCAACTTGCCTGAGACATCCGCAGACTTCTCAGAAGAGGCAGGATAATAAAGACGACTGGAGGAGAAAGAGAAGGGGAAGGGCGTTCAAGAGCAAGAACAAGATAATACTAATATTTCAGGAGAATTCATGTCTTCGACGACGCTTACGTCGATGACGGCGATTTTTTGTCAGGGTGCTAAGATAACGCCACGGTGCGGAGCGGGAGGGATACCGTCGGGTGGACCACCCCCTACGACAGCCGAAAAACAACACATTTCCTTAAAGGAGTTTCAGCAGAAACCTCATCGGAAAAGACACAAATAATCAGAACGAAGAGCAAAGGAGGAAGACGAGGAATTCAACAATTCGCCTCAGACTTCTAGCAGTTCTTATCAGAATTGACCAAATCGCCCGGGACATCCTCACATTTCTTCCTAGAATTGGCCATGTCGCTCGAAACACCCTCACATTTCTGATTACAATGTCCAAAATGGCCTGAGACATCTTCGCATTTCCGAATCGAATTGACCAAATGGTCTGACACATCCTCACAAAACCCAATAGAATTGGCCACATCGCTTGATACATCCTCACATGTCCTAGCAAAATTAACCACATCGCCTGAGGCATCCACATGTCTTCGACGACGATTACGTTGACGACGACGATGTGTGTTTTTTTTGTGCGGGTGCTAAGATAACGCTACGGTGCGGAGCGGGTGGGATACCGTCGGGTGGACCACCCCCTACGACGGCCGAAAAACACATGTCGTTAAAGGAGTTTCAGGAGAAACCTCATCGAAAAAACAAGCGAAGCAGAACGAAGAGTAGAGGAGGAAGACGCGGAAATCAACAATTCACATCAGACTTCCTAGCAGTGCTTATCAGACGTGACCAAATCGCCTGAGACATCCTTACATTTCTTGTTAGAATTGGCCATATCGCTTGAGACACCCTCACATTTCTGATTACAATGTCCAAGATGGCCTGGGACATCCTTGCATTTCCTAATAGAATTGGCCGCATCGCTTGAGACATCCTCACATTTCCTAATCGAATTGGCCACATCGCCTGAGGCATCCTTACACTTTTTTGAATTGGCCATATCGCTTGACACATCCTCACATGTCTGATTACAATGTCCAGCATAACCTGAGTCATCTTCGCATTTCTGAGGAGGAGGAGAACAATAATGTTGCTATTTGCTTCAATTAAAATGTTTAGCAGTCATACACTGCCCAAGGGGAATCAGAAGAGTCCAAGACGGCCTAGGAGCCCAGAAGAGTTCAAGACGGCGCAGGAGAGTTCTTCGAGGCACCCGACAGAGAGCTCCAGCAACCTTCAACAAGGGCACAGCGCTCGCCCTTCTGGGTCCTCCAAACGTCCCATCAAGAGCCTCGCGCTGGCACGCAGGCTCAGGCCCAGGCTTCAGGCTTTGACCTTCAGCCGCCGAGCGCACGAGCTTTCGTCTCCACCTCAGCTTTTCACGCAGGCTCAGTTCCGCAATGTCTCGTCAGAGCACCGATGAGGAGGTTGGTTTGTACGAAGGGTGGTATCGGAATCCTCAGGGCGACGACGCTTTGACTCGACAGGAGGTCAGAAGGCTCAGAGCGGAGGCTGAGACGGAGGCCGCTGTTTGGAAGGCCGCTGCTGAGGCGGAGGCTCAGGAGAAGACCACGTCAGTCAAGAAGCGTCCTGCAGGGAAAAACGCGATCAGGAAGAGGCCTGTCGCAGAGGTCAGGGGCGAGGCTTCGTCAGTGAAGAAACGCCCAGCGCAGGGAGCAGGAAACAGCAACGCTCAGGAGAGTGAGGATTCCCACAACGGCAGCTACGATGGGCCGCCCAAGGATCAGCCGCAGAGTCAGCTTCGCAAGCCCGGTGAGTTGCTGAACCGCCTCGGGCCTGCAGGCGCCGCGTCTTTCAGGGGCCTTCTCTGACTCCTGTCAGCGTAGTTTTTCTCGGATGTGCTTTCACTGGACGCTGTGTTCAGACCGCAGTCCAATCAGCCCACTGCCCATGACTCGATTTCAGTACTCAGCAGGGAGGAAAGGAGGAGGGAGGAACAGAGGAGGGAACAAGTCAGGAGGCGAGTCGAGCTCAGCCTGTCAGGCCGCTTCAGACCCGAGGGACTGTATCAGCGCGTTTTGGCACCTTCAGCAATTGTATACGTTTTGGCCGCTTCAGGAATTGTTTACGGTTTCAGAAGTCTCTCAGCACTAGTCAGAGCTGCTCTGCCCTCGCAGCGCTAGTCAGAGCCGCAACGAACCATCAACATCACCCTCAACGTCATCGTCATCACCATCAACGTCATCATCACTTCCTCACAATTCACTCACAGACAAGGCTCCCGCTTGTCTCAGATTCACTTGTGTCAGACATCCTCACATTTCTTAATAGAGAGTTGGCCAAGTTCCCTCAGACATCCTCGCATTTTTATTTTTGAATTGGCCACATCGCCTAAGACATTGTCGCGTTTCTTAATAGAATTGGCCAGATCGCCTGAGACATCCTCGCATTTCATGATAACATTTGCCCAATCGCTTGAAA